AATATATGTATAAGTCAATGTATTATTTTCTCAGATATTTAAAGCAATAGATTGATGCAAAAATCTATAATAAAGATTAATGATGTATACACATATAAATTTATTATAGAATTATAGAATAATTCAATGAAAGATTAATTTATAAAAAATATATTAAAATGTTAGATGAGATAAAAATTGATATTAAAAATTTTTTATTTTAGTGGAAGAAACCAAGAATATTTGCCAATATAACGAAGATTGTCCTCCGAACAAATACTGCGATCGACTCAATAGACAGTGTATCAATCCTTGCGTCGAGTTCGACTGCGGAGAAAACACAAAGTGTGTCTCCAGTAACCATCAGGCGCAATGCACATGTCTTCCAGGATATCAAGGAAATCCCCATATTGGCTGCCAGGAAATATCAATTTCCGATCCTTGCGTTCCAAATCCTTGCGGTTTGAACGCTTTGTGCGAGAATGATAATGGAAATCCCGTCTGTTTCTGTCCAAAAGGTCTAACAGGAAGTCCGTTCGAGCAATGCAGTATGTATAAAGTTTTATAGAATATTATAATAATCTCATTTATGTATGCTCCAGTTTATAAATACGTAGATAATTTATCTTGCATAAAAATATTATTGCGAAATGTAAAAATAAATATTTCTCTAATAAATCGATTCTGTAATGTGTTTAGTTCCTGAAGGCGATCAATGCGATGGCGATCCTTGCGGTGCTAACTCGGGCTGCCGGATAGTTAACGGACAAGTGAAATGTTTCTGTCTACCAGGATACGAAGGAAATCCACCGCGCACACCCTGCGCACTTCCCAGTATTTCCTGCGATCCTTCTCCATGCGGTCCCAATACTCGCTGTTCCGTGTTGGAGAATGGCTTCGCGAAGTGTACCTGTCTACCTGGATACATTGAAAGCCCGAATACTATTCGAGGATGCGTACCGCAAGTCGATCAATGCGAAATTAATCCTTGTGGTCTTGGAGCGAGATGCAACAACACGAGAGTACCACCTTGTTACTGTCCGGATCTTATGATTGGAAATCCATACAAAAGTTGCGGAGGTAATCATTACCAGCGATTCAATAATATCTATCAAAAAAAGATTTTATCTAACATAACAAATATTGAAAATTGTATTCAATGCGGTTTTTTTTTAAACATAAACAAGCTGTTGATTCGTTATGTCATAACATATAAATTCTTGAAAAAAGTTTCATCATTTTATTTTTGTTTTTAGTTGCATTGTGTTTTCGATCTTTTTTAAATATATTTTGCTTTTGAATTTTTTCAAATTTTCAAGTATTGTATAAATATTTTATATTTTTCTATAATAATTATCTTAAATGATAATTAAAATCAAGAGTGCTACAATCAACAATAAAATGTTTTATTAATTGTTATGTGTAGCACGCCCAGCGGAACCGTATGACCCTTGTCTGTTATCACCTTGCGGCAAAAACGCCATTTGCACGGCAGTCGATGGCATAGCTAAATGCACATGCATACCGCCGTTTGTTGGCAATCCTTATATAGACGGTTGCGAAGCCGAATGTATTGTTAATCGAGATTGCGAGAGTCACCTGGCTTGCTTCAATCAGCATTGCAGAGATCCGTGTCCAGGCGTGTGCGGTGCGAATGCGCATTGCGAAGTCATCAATCATCTTCCGATGTGCTCTTGCTTGCCGGGATACACCGGCGATCCGTTCAGAGCCTGCAAAGTGGAAAAACCTTGTATGCAGACATTTCTCAGTTTATATATTTTCCATATCCGCTTTGTTTCTTATTTATTATATATAGTATTATTGTCAATTTATATGACAGAAAAAAGCATCAAATTTATACTTACAATTAGTTATATGATATTTAAAAATTTTTCTACATCTCTATGTTGCCAAATATTCTATTTTAAGATGTATATACGATTAAAATTATACGGTAAATTTATATTGACAATAATAATAATGTAGGAAGAAGAATAAATATGTGATAATAATATAGGAAGAAATCTAATTTGACTGTATTTTTTTACAGTAGTACCAGATCAAAATCCGTGTATGCCATCACCATGCGGTCCGCATAGTATTTGCCGTGTGATGAACGACCGTGCAGTTTGCTCCTGCAGTCCGGGTTATCAGGGTACTCCGCCGCATTGTCGCCCAGAGTGTCTCGTCAGCACGGAATGCCCGGCTCATCTGGCTTGCATTAATCAAAAATGTAACGATCCTTGTCCGGGATTGTGCGGTTTGAATGCCGATTGCCAAGTCATCAATCACAATCCTATCTGTAGTTGTCCTCGTCAGTACATTGGCGATCCATTCACGCATTGTGCTAAGGAAGGTAATATATTATGTTAGCAAATTTTAGTAATTAATTTATTAAATAAAAAAATATATAGATTGTTTATATGCTAATTAATAAAAGCAAATAAGCAAATAATATTTAATTAATAACTAAAACATGTTTAATTTTTTCGATTTTCAAATATATGGTACAAGGAGAAGATCTCCACATATTATAATTATATAAATTTTCTATATAAAGTATAATTTTTTTATAAACCAGATATAAGTAATATTTTAACTATATTAAACACACATTTCTACGTGTGAAAAAGATTTTCGAAATATAATTGTTTTCAGAACCTTTACCACCAACCATTGTGAATCCTTGTTTGCCATCGCCTTGCGGATCGAACGCTGATTGTCGCGTCCAAGAGAACCATCCTATATGCACGTGCATCAGCGGTATGTTTGGAGCACCACCGAATTGCAGACCGGAATGCATGATCGATCAAGATTGCATCAGTTCTTTGGCTTGTATTCAAAAGAAATGTCTGGATCCGTGCGTTGGATCATGCGGTTTTAACACGAATTGTACGGTGCAGAATCATCGACCTATATGCCAATGTTACGAAGGCTATGAAGGTGATCCTTTCTCAGGCTGCGCCAAAGGTAAGAGTTTTCAAACATTTTTAAAACGGATACTCGATTTATTATGTAACTTGCATAATCTGAATATTTCTTCGCTTTATAGCCGTTTTCCCAGCGCAATTGCCATGCGATCCTTCGCCGTGCGGTGCAAACGCCGTATGTAAAGAGCGTAACGGCGCGGGCTCTTGTACATGTCTGCCCGATTATACCGGGGATCCGTATGTGGGCTGCAGACCGGAATGCGTGCAGAATTCGGATTGCGTTCACACGAAGGCTTGCATTAACAACAAGTGCAAAGATCCTTGTGTAGGCGCGTGCGGAATTAACGCGCAATGCCAAGTATATAATCATCAGCCATCCTGCAGTTGCCTCTACGGTTACACTGGAGACCCGCTTACATCTTGCCACATACCAATAAGTATAAATGCCATTTTTGATATCTCTATTATAATGAATAAGTGCTCGAGTTAGAGTTTCTCAAAAAAGAATTAAAACAACGGATATATACATCTACGAGTATATATACATACATATATACCTGATTTATTACATAATTCCATACTCTTACTACAATATCTAACTACAATGCTAATAAAAAATCATTACTTGACATTCTAATCTTTAATCCTTAAAGAAATTGTAACTCGAACGAAATATTCAATTATCTTTTTAATATGATTTATCTCTTATAGAACCTCCAGTGCAAGGTGATACATGCCAACCATCTCCCTGCGGACCCTACAGCAACTGCCGCGTTATTGATAATCACGCAGTGTGTTCCTGCCAACCTAATTACATTGGCAGCCCACCATCCTGCCGACCGGAATGCGTAGTCAGCACGGATTGTAGCCCAAACGCGGCGTGCATCAATCAGAGATGCAAAGATCCATGCGTAGGCACGTGCGGCGTAAATGCAGATTGTCGAGTGATCAATCATAATCCAGTCTGTATTTGCGCGATTGGTTATAGCGGAGATCCGTTCTTTGGATGTGTCAAAGAAGGCAAGTCTCAAGCCTATTTAAGTCACTGTCTTAAAATTTTTGTGTCTCCAATGTATTCCGAATATTTAAAAGATTTATACAATATTTTAAATGTTATAATATTATTTTGTGAAATAGTAAAAAAAATTAGCAAAAATAAGAATTTATCTTTTATATGTAATTTTATATAATTTTTATATAACCGTTTTGAAATCTCGATATGCGATTGTAGTAGAGGTAACACCAGCACCAAGACCAAGCGGCAATCCATGCGTTCCTTCGCCATGTGGACCGAATTCCCAGTGTCGGGTAATTGACGGCTTTCCGGCGTGCTCGTGTTTGCCAAATTATGTGGGCCGGGCACCAAATTGCCGTCCCGAGTGTGTCATAAACGAAGGATGTCCCGGAAATCTGGCGTGCCAGAAAGAGCAATGCGTGGATCCGTGCCCAGGCTCTTGCGGCGTTAACACATATTGCAATGTCGTGAAACACAATCCCGTCTGCATTTGTAACGATGGTTACACTGGCAATCCATTCACGGAATGTACACCTATCGTAGAAGGTATGCTTTTCTGACGCACATTCATGTCTTGGATCATGCGAAATATTATATCAGTACGTTATAGTAACGCGTCTTGTAATTCATTTTTATTAAAAATTATTTATTTATTTTTAATATAATTCATAATTCTTTACATGCAGCACCCATTACAACGGAACAACCACGTACACCGTGTAATCCATCACCGTGTGGCGCCAACGCCGTATGCAACGAACGGAATGGCGTCGGATCTTGCACATGTTTGCCGCAGTACTTCGGCGATCCATATATTGCTTGCAGACCCGAATGCGTGACCAACGCCGACTGCGATCGCAGCAAGGCTTGTCTGAACAACAAGTGTATTAATCCTTGCCCAGATACCTGCGGTCAGGATGCCACATGTCGGGTGGTTAATCATGCCCCCATGTGTTCCTGCCTGCCGGGTTATACCGGCGATCCGGTGAACGGCTGCACTATCGTCGATATCGCGACGCCGTTACCGTCGCCGATCGATCCATGCGATCCGTCACCGTGCGGACCCAACAGTAACTGTCGAATTCAAAACGAACACGCGGTATGCCTGTGCCAGCCAGGATTCTCCGGCATTCCGCCGACCTGTCGACCAGGATGCATCGTTAGCTCCGAGTGTTCGCAAAACAAGGCGTGCATTCACAACAACTGCGCGGATCCATGTCCTGGTTCCTGCGGACAGAACACGAATTGTCTCACGGTGAATCATAATCCCATCTGCAGCTGTGCTAGCGGCTACTCCGGCGATCCCTTCGTGCACTGCGCCAGAATCAGCACCACGTCTCCGTTGCCGAAGGGAGAGGAAGATCCGTGCTTCCCCAATCCATGCGGTCCCAATTCGCAATGTAAAGTAATAGGTTTGTATCCGGCATGCTCCTGCTTGCAGAACTACATCGGCCGTCCGCCTAACTGCAGACCGGAGTGCACCGATAATTCGGAATGCTTCAACACCGCGGCATGCATTAATCAGAGATGTAAGAATCCCTGTCTCGGTGCTTGCGGCGAGCTCGCCAGATGCACAGTGCAGAATCACGTTGCATTCTGTACTTGTCCGGAAGGATATGAAGGCGAGCCTACCGTGCGTTGCGTTTTGGCGCTTCCGCCAGGTGAGTAGAAATTCGAATATCTGACAAACTAAATTGCTAAGTTTAACTATATGTTTATGGTATATTTTTGTCGTGCATATTTATAGCGATAGACAGACCCGTCTCGAATCCGTGCTCGCCGAATCCTTGCGGTCCTAATGCACAATGTCGTGAGAGAAACGGAGCAGGCGCTTGCGGATGTCCACCAGATCTGATTGGTGATCCTTATGACATTGTCAAGGGATGCCACAGGGAATGCGAAACAAACAATGACTGCGCACCGCAGCTGGCGTGTGTTGGCTTTAAATGCACGGATCCGTGTCCCAATACGTGCGGAACATTATCTATATGCAATGTACAAGCGCACGTTCCTGTCTGCTTGTGCCCACCAGGATACACGGGAGATCCATATTTCGCTTGCGAAATCAAGGAAATGACAAGTATGTTTTAAATATACTGATAATTAAAAGTAAATATTATTGCATTAACGAGATATTAATAATAATTATTATATTTAATATTATCTTGCGCGATATCGGCATACTATTATTAAACATAAACAAAAAATCATATTAATCACAACTATCAAAAATTGCAATAAATTATTTTCAAATAATTTAATTAATATAATTAAAAGTTTCGTGTAAAATATACGACATAATATCGTTCCCTTCAGAAACGTTAGAACCATGTTCTCCATCACCTTGTGGACCCAACAGTAAATGCCGAGTCGTTAATGGTCAAGCCGTATGCAGCTGTTTACCAGATTATAGGGGAATTCCGCCATCGTGTAGACCAGAATGCATTGTTAATGCTGAATGTCCACCACATCTGGCATGTGTAAATACAAAATGCGCGGATCCATGCCCGAATACCTGTGGACTGAGAGCGCAATGTATTACGAAAAATCACAATCCGATTTGCACTTGCCCTGCCGGTTTCACAGGAGATCCTTTCACTTTGTGCTCACCACACGGTAAGCATTATACATATTCTATTCGTATTCTTGCGTTAACATTAACGGAAATATCATATTTCTACAAAATTTGCTTTTACGAAAAATTATATTTCTTATCATATTAATGCGCGCGCGAACAAATTAATATATAAATTTTGTCTAGATATAAAGATATATAACGATCGTTTTTTTAGTTCCTGACGACATCCCGATAACTGAACGGCCACCATCGTGCACCCCGTCGCCTTGCGGTCCGAACTCTTTGTGTCAAATCATATCCGGCAATCCTGCGTGTTCCTGCCTGCCTAATTACATTGGCGTACCGCCACAATGTCGACCAGAATGCATTTTGAGCTCCGAGTGCAAGAGTCACCTTGCGTGCGTCAATCAGAGGTGCTCGGATCCGTGCCCAGGCTCGTGCGGAATAAACGCTCAATGTCACGTATTGAATCACTTGCCAGTTTGCACATGCATGGAAGGTTTCACTGGGGATCCATTTACGCAATGCAGCATTATTCCGCCAGGTAATAAATAAAGTGTAAAATAATGTATTATACTGTATAAAGATGAGCGGTATAATTTAATTTGTGAAAAATTAATATAAAGACAAACTATTCTTGAAAAAAAAGAAATTAAGAATCTCTATAAAACATATATCACCGTACATTTTGTAGCTATGAGATATATA